CAGCAGCCAGAAGGGCGGCTGTCATGAGCAAGTGGACAACAGGAACAGTGCATAGGTGGCACTGGCACATGCTCAATGAGTGGAGACATCAAAGTGATGTGACTGGGTCTGCATTGACTGGACCAAGCTGTAAATAGGGTGTTTTAAGTAGGGTTGGATTAAAGACCTTTAGGCAAAAGACTTTGCCCTGCAGACTCCGGGGATGGTACTTTGCTTACAGGTTTCTTTCATATTATAGGTTCTCTTTGTTTAAGTGTGGTCCTGCGGGTTGACAATAGAGTACTGTTATGAAACAGACTGTTTCTATCTCTGACTCAGTGCTTACGAGAGGGGAAGAATTGCCTCTAAAGGTACCCAGTGGGTAGGTTGGAATCTTCCCAATCTACTGGGTGGGGGCTCAAGCCAGTTTTAGTCACCTTGTTGAAAGAACCTTCCTAGATACTGAACCTGGCCCTTCAGGTTGCACACTGCTACCGGCAGAAGGGTTAAACATATAAATGGTTAACTGATGAGTCTCACTTGTAATCATGTGACCAGTGAGGGGGAGGGATACTTTGGGTGGCATTATCCCTTCTACCCAAGGCCCATTTCCACCCCTTCCGGGACTGTGGAGCTTCCTCCCTTCCCTCCTCCACACACTATGTAGAGGGGCCTGGCAAATCTGTTGGTTCACTTGGTTATGTGTAATGTTAACAGAACATGGCAGGAAGGAGTAGATGGAATACACACCAAGGACACTGAACACAGATGATCTCTTCATTGATTTCAGTGGAGTTTTGCTGTGAAAAAAGAACTAACATGGCTTTGTGATGTTCCCAGTTTATTGTTTCTCAGTGACTCTAATCAAATTTTCTGTTTATACATAAACATTTTTCCAGACTTCAGAATCCTGGAAGCAATCCCTGAATTCTGAGAGCCTAGATGGGTTCTTTCTGGCTCTTACAAATCCGGCTGCTTGATTTGCCTAACTTTATTCACCCAAATGTACTTATCTGACCTGGAAGCAGATCTGTGTCCATGTGACAGGGAGCTTGAGGCTACTCTCAGTTAACTACTGGGGCTCAGTGTCACTTTTAGCAGCTCTCCATACAGGAAGTCTGTCTTTTCAGTCTGCTACTGCTTACATGTGCTGAGGTACCAATGGAGGTGACAGCTGCTCGCAGTCCCACCTGTGAAGAGCACACAGGAGCAAAAAACAATGGCTACCTAATTTTTTGATCCAGGCCAGCAAGAAAGGCATTTTTGTGTAAGCACACAGCGTGGCTTTGTGGAAGAGGGAGCGGATTGTTTCCTTCAACCATAGTGGCCTGGGAGGAAAAGGAGGATAGTGACAAATAAGAGGAGATAGACGAGATACAGAGACAGAGGAGAGGTCAGAAGACAAATGGAAGGGAAATAAAGATAAGATTCAACACGTGACAGTTGAAATACACGGATATAAAATAGAAGGAAAGTGGCAGTGCCATGGAAGAGAAAGAGATGAAGTGACACAAAGAAGGGGCAAGTAATTACCAGAGAAATAATATTAACTATCAGGAAATGGGAAACATGATTACCACAGCTGCACCCTGTGGTTCTACGGAGCCAGATGCAGGTAATTACCCATATTCTTTGCACATTCTGCTACTGTAAAAGCTTGACATGAATAAATATTCAAAGGCCTTTTTCCGTTGCAGCTCCTGACACCTGGAGGAACTTTATTGTATCTCTGCCTTACAATCTCTTGCTCATAGCTATTTCTGCTTCTCTAAGCCTCTTAATTTCTCTCTCCACCCATTCTTTTTCTTTGAGTAACACTGTAATTTAACTCTTTGAATCATTTTGATACCAAGAGTCTACGAGAGAGATGACATATAACAGAAAATTGTGTTATGTGGTTTAATTCATTTGAGGGATTATTCATTGAGTAATGCCATGCCTCCTCAGGTTGGTATATGTAATCAAACTGCCTACTCTGCCATAAACTTATTATGAAGCTGGAACTCTGATGTCAGCACTGGTACAGAAACTGCATTTTTCAGGCCCCAACTCAATTTACTGAAGTCATTATTAATAATCAGTATTAACATTTATATTGTGAGAGTGCATAGAAACCAGCCAGGTTGAGGCCCTATTGCACAAGGCATTGTAGAAATCATGGCCTCAGCCCCAAATTGTTAAAAGACAGAATCACTGGGCTGAGATGAGGATTGAGGGACATGGGGGTAACAAGCCTAAAGTTGGAGTGTCGGTCTCAAATATTGGCCACACAAATAACCATGCAAAAAGACAGTACTGACTGCACCTAGAAATAAGGTGGTTTACACATCTAACTGGGTGCTGTTGCAGAAGCAAGTCATTTAAAAAATAGAGCTACAATATATCACAATTTGGATTTACCATGAATTGGAAAAGAAGCCTGAGTGACCAAATCAACGGGCCATTAGTTAAGTTTTGTTTTGGGGTATCTCATTCCTGTTCTATCTAGTTACTGCACCCAAAGTGGTATCTAAATTACAGATTTATAGTGGAATCTTTTGCATCATAGCAAATATCAACATCTTAGCATTTCATAATTAACACTAAAATGGGCACTTAAATATTACATTCTTTTTTATAAGTCTCACCATCTCTCCAAGTTAAAATGAACAAAGAGTTAATTGTGACTTTTATAAGTGATTCTTGTAACAGTAAAGAGGAAATGCCTTTGAATAGCATTCTTTGACTACCAAGTCACACAGAAAAGCTTCCATTTAATAAACTCTGTATCTGAATTCCCAAGTTGGAAAGATCCCAATAATTCATTATTAAAAAAATCAGATGAGAATTACAGGTAGTGATTTCCTTTTCAAAAGGTATATAGAACAATTGAGTAGGAACCTTTAAAAGGATGAGCAAACAAAATCACTGTGAACTGCTGCTACATGAATCTCCGCAACAAAATTTGTTTCACAGCTGTTTATACTTTCATTAGGCCAAAACCTGGCTCTACTTAGTGGAAGTTTCATCAATCGAGTTCATTTGAATTTGCCCTTTTAGATGCGTGTCCAATCCATCAAGATTCAGAACCTTCCACTTTTAATTCAAACAGATACAGTATCCTTAATCACAGATAAAATATGACGATGTGACGTATTCAAATCACTTGTTAAAAATATCTTTCAGTAAGAGGTGACATACAATAGGAGAGCACAAACCAGCAATGGGGAATTTCAAATAGTTTTTGAAGCTTCTGTTTGGATAAACACCTAAAAAGTATATTTTCTCTGTGTGTATAATGATAAATGTGCCATAAACTTAAAGGTTTTTGGATGCAAAGTTTCTTTGTCCAGCACATTATAGTGAGAAGAATCAGCCATAACCTTCATGGGTGAAATCCAGGCCCCTGAGGGCAAAATGGGAGTCTTGCCATTGATTTCAGTAAAGTTAGGATTTCACCCTCTATCTGGACATTTCTTTATTACATCATCCTCTGTGCTTTTCATTTGTGTAATTTTTTTCACGGAAACAATCAAATGTAATTTTCAAGGCAAATGGCCTGGAAATAGAATGAAGATTGGGGTACAAATATTTCTACCAAATGACCTACCTAGCAAGCCTCAAGTTTTTACTTTATTTTCAGTTGTTGTGACAAACAGGTTTATTTCACTTTTCAGATATATTATGATTACTCAGTCAACTTTGTAATCATTTAAACATTTACTAGAATCAGATTCTGAAATGCTTATTCACATTAAATAGCATTTTACCCAGGAAGTATCACTGGTGATGACTGCAGGGGTAAGTGAATAGGAAAGGCTGAATCTGGTGAATAGGAAAGGCTGAATATTCCAAGGTGTCGTGGGGTGGTCCTTCCTTCCCCCTCCCTGGGGATTGGACGGCCCAATGGCCAGAGGCAATAAACCACAGTGTAACGCAGCCATTTAAGACAGGGCTGGATTGCCCAATGACCAGAGTCACAGGGGTGGGGGCTATGCTACTCCACCGGGTCCCAGCCAAGGGCCCTGTGAATAGCAGAACAGCCCACCACTCCTTCAGCAGAGAATCCAACCGAAACATGCCGAGGATCTCTGGGTGGGAGAGGCCGCTCCTGCACCCTCCCTGAGCCACTTCCTACCTGATCCAATGAGCCAAATTCCCACATGGCAGCTGGGTCTTCTCACTCCTTGGGGGGGGGGCACACTTCCCTGGTTGTCTGCAGTGGTTACTTCCCAACTGGCATCGGAGCCTCCACTGCTCTTCTCTCGGGCATCTGGCTGCTGCTGCTCAGGAGCTCCAACCTGAGGTCCTTCTCCTCCACCAGCTAGCCCAGACTGAGCCTCTCCCCAGGCTTTTATACCTGGGCTACAGTCTGAGCATGCCTGGTAGGACTGCGGGGGCAGAGCTCCTTCAGTCAGTGTAACCTGGCTAAACCCTGTTAATTCAGTGCAGGGCTGGTACACCCCATCACACAAGGCTTTCTAGTATATTTCAAGCAGTATGGGTTGTGACTGATTCACTGGTTAACCCTGTGTGTTTACATATGCCAATTTTTTCATTTGAATATTTGTGAGTTGTTGTGTGTAGATTAAAGCAAATCAAACTGTTTCTTAATTTTGCTTTATCTATTTGTTCATACTATACATATTAATATTTGTGAAAAAAATTTAGTTTGGACACTTAATAGCATTCATTCTGATCTGTTTCATTCATTTCTACAGAAGCTTTCTGTTTTGCCCTCTGATTCAATAGCTTTCTCTTTGTAATATTTTCTCCACACTAGTTCACTGGCTGTTTATGAACTATTTAAAAGGAAAGAACAGTGATAATATATTAATAGCACATTAGGGAAATCTGTATTTTACCCCTGAATTTCAGTTAAAATAAACACGATATTGATAATGAAAACCTGAAACTTAATTTACATTTTTTCTCAAGAGCCGCTCCAAAATAGCCTATAGAAAATCATGTTTCATTATAGGAGTTTATTGCATGAGAAATTTTCAAAACGTGTTTAAAATAAATTAACTGAGCAAAAAATTACAACCGAAAAAAGTGAAATTGACATAACAGACTATTTTATAATGATGAAGTTAGTTTGCTGACTCCAGTGCTTGAATATAAGCACAGTGGCAAAAATTACTGTAGATGTAAAAGAAAAAGGATTTTTTCTTTGCTTGGTTGTTAGTCCTGAGGAAACATGTAGTATATTTTGTGTTAGAGCCTTTCTACATCTTAAGTGAAAAATAAGAAAAATAAGAAAGAGGACTCTAATAATCTACATGTTTGCAATCTAGCTAGTAACTTACATCACATCTTTTGAAAACCTGACAGATGAATTTCTGTATCAAACTCAATTTATTAGCATCAGACAGAAGTGAATTTGAAATGTTTATTCTTAAGTGACTGCAAATAATGTAATCTCTCAAGTTTCTCATTTGTTTGACTAGACTGCATGGGTTAGGGTGACCATCCACCCTGTTCTTACTAGGACAGTCCTATAGATAAGGCCTCCTCCCTCCGACCTGACTTAAAAAAAAAAAAGGACATATTGTCCCATATTTCGCCTGCAGGGGGCAGAGGAGGAGCTGTCAGAGCTAAGGGATTCAGCCGCTGAAGCCCCAAGCACCGCTGGCTCCCCTCACATCCCCACTCTGCATGCTGTGGGTGGTGAATTTCATCCCTGAAGTGGGGCAAGGTGGGGGCGGGGAGCCGCCAGCACTCAGAGCTTCAGCTACTGGAGCTGTGGGTGGTTGGTCATGTAGGCAAGCGAAGGCATAACCTTCCCAAAACTGCCTACGTGCCTGACCACCTGAGACTGGGCCCATCACCAGGGAAGGCTGGGGCTGCAGCACACCAGCCTGGCTCCGTCCGGCCGCTGGGGAAGACAGTGTAGCTCAGCAGCCTAGTCACCTGGGAGGGATAGAGCCACTGCGTAGCAGCCCGGCTCTTCCCGGGCCCTGGGGAGGGTAAGGGCCACGGTGCTGCAGCCCAGCTTCTCCCAGCCACCAGGGAGGACTGGGTTGGGGCCACAGCATGGCAGCCCAGCTCTCCACACGGCCCAGAAGGATTGGGCTGGGAGTGGTTGTGGCATCAGGTGGAAGGGCGGGGCATGGAGATAATGCTTCATAGCCAGGAATTCATGCACCACTTTTCCTCCCTTCTCCCAGGTCTCAACTTCCTCCCAGACCCTGCACCCCCTCTTATAACCCTCCCCCAGGCTAGAATCTTTTCTTGCACCCATAACCCCTCCTGGACCCCAATCCCCTGCCCCAGATCACAACACTCTTCTTCACCCAAACTCCCTCTCAGATCCCACACTCCCTCCTGCACCCCAGGCCTCTATCCCAAGTTCCCTTCCACACCCCACTCACTGTCCCAGACCCCATGCCCTTTCCACAGAAGTGCAGCCCTTGACCACTCACCAAAATCTTGGAGTGGCCCCCCATTAAAATGTATTGTCCACCCCTGCACTAGCTGAAAATGTACATTTCTCTACTGCTCCTCGCAGCAGAACCCCAAGTCTTTATGCTTTTTTGGAATTGTGTTTCCCCAATTTGTGAGTAGGTTATGTAACATTCTTAGGAATTCTCATTGACTTCATTGCAACTGGAACAAAAACCTTGTGAAATATTCAACAGATAGTGGCTACTTCTCATATGGTCCCATGAACCTCCATCCATGTCAAGCCTTAGTGATGGCTTCTATTAGGGTACTTTCATTAAATTCAAAGGGATTATACCTTGTATTACACTCTAAACCCAATAGTAAGTGCAGGATCAATCCCTCAATCATTTTGAGTAAAGAACACCAGTTGTGCTTTAAGATCGTATATGTTATCTGGTTGAAGAGAGAGCTGTGCTTAGATCAAGTACTTTGGATATGAAAGGACTGAATAGCACCAGTTGTAGTTATAGAAATGATTAGTACTTCACATATAATAATACTTCATAATAACACTTCAAAACGTAACTTGTTGCATTTACACATGCATCTTAACATGAGGTCAAACTTACATTTTATGTTGATAAAAGATCCTAATAGCAAACTTTGTAAATCCAGTGATTGAATCACAAAGTAAAATGTTTCAAGAACGTTGGTAAACACATGATGAAAAAGAAATACTTCTGATAGCTACAAATGATTTTATTATTCATGCTACCAGCACCTGTCCAATCAGCTCAGGGTTTCTATCCTTTATTAATGCAGAAATAATGGCAGCAGCAGAATTGATTGTCTCCTGAAGCTTTGGATCATCCTGAAAGACAAAGGAACAGCTTATGAGTAATTATGAAAAAGATAAACACATTTAACACCCCTTTTAAAATATGCACAATCACCTTATGACTTCTGACAAAAATTCAAAATATGTTGCATTTGCCAATACAAAAGCCTTCCAAAAAATGTGATTGTTTATAAAAGAAAATTTCACTCTAATGTCAAATCTCCAGCCTATAACACAAAGAAACATTTGTAGACAGAAACAGAACATAAACAAATGGAATGTATTTTAATTGTTTCAGGTTAATGATGATAATTTACTTTCTAGGATCTGTAAATCTGTATTTATTCATGCCACATATGCTACGTAAATAACTAAAAATTTCCTCTAAGCTTATAGAAACTTTTTAATTTTTAGAATACCTGACATGTACCAACATCAAGAAATTGAACTGTGCACCAGCACTGAATGGACTTCAATTACTTAGGATCAAAAGGATATGCTCCACAGTCAGGCTGTTGTCACACATTACATGTTAAGGATGGCAAAATAAATAACATTATTTCTTTCATATTATGTGTATATAGGAGCGTGATAGATATCTCAGTTGTCTCATTAAATATGTCCTTTATTAGATACAATTTACTCTCTTCAAATCTTGCAACAGAAGTACACTTTCATAATTACACAATAAAAGAAGGATCACAATATTGCAGCTGGGCTCTCATTTCATTTCAGTTCGTTCTTACATCTCACTGATTTATTGGCAACACCTCACCTTTTATATACCCACATAGTCTTGACTGACAACATTCTAGGAGGTCTGAGGAAAATGTAATTCTCATGGAAAGTTCCCTGAGATTCTACAAAGGTCCAGAACATTCTAGTAGGTTATTGAAAAATAATTCCACACATTTAATACCTTAAGTATGTTCCTTCAACTATTCAATTTTCCCTTTTGTCACTAACAACAAAAACAGCATCCCAAGCCTGACGCCCCCCCAATCCCACATTCATAGAATCATAGAATCATAGAACTGGAAGAGACCTCAGAAGGCCATCAAGTCCAGCCCCCTGCTCTAGGCAGGACCAATTCCAACTAAATCAACCCGGCCAGGGCTTTGTCAAGCCGAGACTTAAACACCTCTAGGGATGGAGACTCCACTACTTCCCTAGGTAACCCATTCCAGTGCTTCACCACCATCCTAGTGAAATAGTTTTTCCTAATAACCAAGCTGGACCTCTGCCACCACAACTTGAGACCATTGCTTCTTGTTCTGCCATCTGTCACTACTGAGAACAGCCTCTCTCCATCCTCTTTGGAACCTCCCTTCAGGAAGTGGTCACCTAGATCTCTTGCCCCTAAGTCCAGCTCTGTGGGCAACAATGCAGCAAAAGTCAGGTTTCCTAAGAAAAATCAGAAAAGAAGACACTAAGCCAATGATTATGGAGTTTTCAAGAACTCTGGGTTAATGGATACTGGAAAATGATATAAAGGTGGAAAGAGAGTCAACTGCTGGCTTTTTAAGTAAAGGGACTATAACATGGGTTGGGGAGACAGAATTGGTATATAATTACAGGAGTTAAGAGTAAGAGTCCTCAAGAGTCTAACTGGCCATGTCTACATTAGGACAGTATTTCAAATTTACTAAGTTTTACTTCTGGGCACCCAATTTTACAAATTTGAAGTTCCGTGTCCTCACTATGGGGAAGAATCTAATGGAATCTGAGGCAGGCTCCATTAATGTGGATGTGCTACTTGGACTCAGAGCCGCAGGAAGCACTCAGGGGAGCTGTGGGAGGCCTCCTGGTGGCCAATTAGTTCAAATTAGCAGCACCAGAGCATCCACACTAACATAATTTCGGACTTATAAGTTCAGGAATAGCATTATTCCTCATGAAAAGCAGGACCACAGAGTTCAAATTCTGTGGCCCCTTACACTGGAATAATAGGGTTGGTGTGTGGACGCACCACTTTGACCTTGGGGGGTTAATTTCAGACTAAGGTTTTAGTGTAGTCCAGGCCACTGGGAACAAAGGGAAAATGGATATTGGGCAGGGAGGCACTGGAGAAACTCTCAGACTTATGCTCATTTGTAAGAAAATTATAAAAACTAAGGCAGAGGGGGAATTTGGAAGGAATGGAAGAGAGGGTTTAAGAAAAGGATTGAGGTTAGAGAAGAGGTGGTAGGGGTGGTAGTTTTAAAAGGATAAGGGAGTTAAGCCGAGCTGTTCTGTTGTACATTGATGCTTCACTGATGTGTGAATATTTTAGAAACAATACAATCACTATCATTGTGGGTTCTGAACTTAGAGCAGTGTTTCTCAAAGTGGACCACAGACCCACTCTGAGAAAGCTGCTATTGGGCCACTCCAGTTTGTTTATTTACCAGCTCCACGGCCTCAAAGCCTCGCAGCTCCTCTTGGCAACAATGGCAAACCACAGCCAATGGGAACCACGAGAGTGCATGGCTGCGGAGCTAGTAAGCAAGCAAACCGGAGCAGCCTGTTAGCAGCTTTTTCAGAGTGGACCACTTTGAGAAACACTGACTTAGACATTTGAAAGAATGTCTTCAGAAATCCCTAGTTGGAGCATAGAGGCATGTGAAAAGGATCACAATGCATCCCAGATAATCTGCTGCTTATCTGAGATGCACAATGCACAGTTTGCACATGAGCCTTTAGTACTTAGTTTGGAAATACAAATGACTGGGTCAGACTAAAATGTGTCCTAAATTTTCTTTTTGAAAGTAGGTATTTTTTATATTTAGGAGGATTAGTCAATGTTACTTCCTAGTAGCCTGCAAAATTTTCTGTTATAAATAACACTCATAGTCAATTAGAACACAGATATTTAATATTCACTTATAGTGAAACTCTATATTTCTTACTCAGACGAAAGTCCCAATTAGCGCATGGAAGTTCTGGATAAACAAGGAGTGTGGAATTGGAACTTTGGGGCCTGATTCAATGTTGCCTTTCATCTCATGTAGACATTTATATACATGTGGAAAGTGGGTGTTATTCTGTTTTTTGCCCACTTAGCATAGGTGTAAATAACTGCACAAGGCGCAAGGAATCAAGCCCATAGGGTCACAAAGACAAACATTTTAATTGTTTTCAAGATTTAGTATACACTACTTGAAATTCAGTAGCAGTCATCTTCTGTTTCCACTTTTATTTAGTGTGTTGCTGCAAAGTATGGATAAAAGTTTCACTATTACAGATATGTTTTCTAAATGGTCTTCCAGCCATATCTGAAGTTGACCAAACTTGTATACATTATTTTCTTTTTTTGAAAAAAGAAAAAAAATACACCTGGCCAGGAATGCTCTTAATTCTTCTCCTAATAAATCTTTCTATATCCTATGTTGGTTACTAGATTCTACACACATTCCTTTGTTGTAATAAATTATTTCAGTTTTTGAACATGAAAGGACGTGAGAGGGAAGTTTAGCTTTTCACTATTTTAAAGCCAATGGACCTAAAGTGATATTGTGGGGTCCAATTTGACTGAAAATTAGTTTAAATAGAATCTTTTATCATATCTAAGGCCAACTCAAAGGTTTTTTTAAATTTCAAGGGAAATATTTGAAAAAGAAGATCCTTTGAGATATTTGCAACTCACATACTGAGCAGAAGGGTACAGGAAACTGAAATGAGAATCTGATTACAAATTGAGAATGTGTATTCAGTCTTACAGCACTGAATTTTTCAAAAATATCACTACTGATTGGTGAAAGCCAAATGATTAAGTAGACCTAAGTTTTCACAAATGTATTTGCTTGAGAAGTTTAGACACAAGGCACAGAAGAGGATGTAAGCACAAAATGCTCAGTAGAGCTCTTGTAAGCTGCACAATAGTTATCTCACATTATTGCCCACCTACTGTTCAGTTCAGTTGGGGACCGTCTCCAGCAGACCAGGGACACCGGGAGCAAAGCCACAGCGGCGGCGGGTCCCGCGCCAGAGCAAAGCCTCAGAGGCGCGGCACCCCACCGCTGCGGCTTTGCTCCCCATGTCCCTGGTCTGCTGGGGGGGTGGGGGCGCAGCTAGTGCGCCCCTCTTTCCCCAGCAGACCAGGCTTTTCTCGCCGACGACGCCTGGGGTAGAGCAGCTGGAGTGCTGCCGGGGTGGTCCAGTAGCGCCCAGAGCAGCGCTGCGGGACCAACCGGCAGCGCCCCAGCTGCTCTTCATCCTTAGTAGGCAATATCTTATACTGAGATTTCACCCCAGAAAATACTCAAATGTACAGTATATAATATTCTTCCACATTTATTAGATGGCTACCTCCATTAAACAACTGGTTTTTGCCAATGCTTTTGTACTAGTCACATATAGCTGAGATACTTCTGCTAATTTAAGCATGAGGTTATTTTATTGGACACAGGAAGAGGAATTAATAGTAGCTCTTGGAATCACCAGTGCAAAGTTGGTGAAGCTAGGTGCATAAAGCAGGATATATAAAGGGGATAGTAAATGGGGAATGAGAGCCCCAAAAGCTCCTGTGTTTTGAACTACAGGCAGTCCCCGGGTTACGTACAAGATAGGGACTGTAGGTTTGTTCTTAAGTTGAATCTGTATGTAAGTCGGAACTGGCGTCCAGATTCAGCCACTGCTGAAACTGACCTCCAGTTCTGACTTACATACAGATTCAACTTAAGAACAAACCTACAGTCCCTATCTTGTACGTAACCCGGGGACTGCCTGTAGTTCAAAACACAGGAGCTTTTGGGGCTCTCATTCCCCATTTACTATCCCCTTTATATATCCTGCTTTATGCACCTAGCTTCACCAACTTTGCACTGGTGATTCCAAGAGCTACTATTAATTCCTCTTCCTGTGTCCAATAAAATAACCTCATGCTTAAATTAGCAGAAGTATCTCAGCTATATGTGACTAGTACAAAAGCATTGGCAAAAACCAGTTGTTTAATGGAGGTAGCCATCTAATAAATGTGGAAGAATATTATATACTGTACATTTGAGTATTTTCTGGGGTGAAATCTCAGTATAAGATATTGCCTACTAAGGATG